TGGTGGAGTAGCAATGGAAAAAAATGCAGAGCTTTTACAATCTCACAAAAGATACAGGAGCCTGAAAATGCTAAAGTTTTAGAATTGGGACACAATATAAAACCCACCACTTCACAGCCAGTATTTTCTATCACCTCCCACTTGCCTCTGCAGAAGAAAAATGACCTCCTAATTCAGGTTCATTTAAAGTGCAGCTGATCATCAAGGTCTTTCATTTGTGAGAGTAAAAAAATAAAAAAATAATACCTTTCTTGTCCATTTGTGGAATTTACGACAGATCTGTAATGTAATAAGCTCAACACTCCATCAAACATTTTCTATTTAACCTGAAAGGGGACTAAGCCAAATCACTTCTACGCCGATGCGTACGATTTGCAAAGAGGAGCAAGTGCAGCCACAGTGGGGACTATTGGAAATATCTCGGAGTGATCCTCACGCCTTCAGAATACGTATTAGGAACCTCAAGTGCTCAATCACAAAGCAGTGACAAAAAGGTGAGATCTCCTATAAAATATCAATGGGAAGGGCTTGATGTGAAGAGTTCAGGTTTCCTGGGCTCAAGCCAAAAAAAAAAAAAAAGGGGGGAAAGAAAAAAAAAAGAAAAATGGCAGTTTTAGCTCTGGATGAGGCTGATGTTGTGACCCAAAACCAGGAGCAGAGCCTTTGAAATATTTATTCATACACTAATGGCAAAATCCCCCCCCTCAACTGAATAATGATCTCTGCATGTCTGTTTTTTAATGAAGCATACGATGGATTTGAACAGCTAATTATAATGCTGCTACGGAGATATATAGAATAGATAAAAATATTAGAGGAGATACGTCCTTATAGCATCAGGTCAATCAAAGCCAAGAAGAAGCTCTGTGCTCATCTATTCTCCGGGTAAGATCCAAAAATTAATTTTAATAAAGCATGAGGGCCAGTGTTAGACATCAGCTCCAGGTCTATAATCCAAATATATAAATACATCTGGAGCTTCAGTGCGGGGTTGGCTGTGGAGCAGGTGGTGGGGTTGGTTGAGGACTGGAGGACAACACCGCCCGGCATTTCCATACAGCCTACTCTTTAAAAAGAGATATAAAATTCATAGGGCTGGAGGGAGGAGAGTCTGCAAACCAGCAGTGAAGGGATTTCAAGGGTAATGTCCACAGAATTTCAGGTTCCTGCTTTTTTAAAGTCCTTGCAGGAAATCTCTGGATCAACCTCTGTTGTTTTCTCCCCTTCTGAATTCTGCAGGACTGTTCCATTAGTTATGTACTGTCTGAAGGGATAAGACATCTCCTTGGCATGCATTGAAAAAACAGGACAGCAAAGCAAAGAGTAGTTTAATCGGTTTAAGTGACGATGAGTCACTTACTTATTGCCCCATTATTTCATTACACAGGACATGTCCAAAATGTTTTTAAGAAAAATGTAATGAAAAATTAATCCATTCTATCTATCAGGGTGAGGGAAGTAACAGTTATTGCAATGGGGGAATTTGCTAAGAGCCTTTTGAACCTGCGATGACCCTAAGTTGGGTATAATTAGCAGACGTGGTCCAGAAAGGAATTGTCTCAGTCGGTTTGCAGAGAGCTTGGCGAAGCCAGAGAGAGTTGAGGTTGTTCAGCCTGGAGAAGAGAAGGCTCTGGGGAGACCTTCCAGCAGCCTTCCAGTGCCTAAATAGGACTCTACAAGAAAGGTGGAGGGGAACTTTTGAAAAGGACATGTAGTGACAGGACATGGGGCAATGGCTTTAAACTGAAAGAGGGGAGATTTAGGTTAGATCTAAGGAAGAACTTCTTGACTGTGAGGGTGGTGAAGCACTGGCACAGGTTGCCCAGTGAAGCTGTGGATGCACTGTCCCTGGAGTTATTCAAGGCCAGGCTGGATGAGGCTTTGAGCAACCTGGTGTAGTGGCAGGTGTCCGTGCCCATGGCAGGGGGGTTGGAAGTAGATGATCTTGAAGGTCCCTTTCAACCCAAACCATTCTATGATCCTATGACTAGGGAGGAGCGACTGTGCAGGAACGTCTCAGTCCTCTTCTCTAGGAGGTTTGTTCAAATAGAGAAATACATCACAAACTTTGTAAAGTCATGGATGTCTTCAAAACTGCCCATTCATAGGTATCTAAGTATGGCTGAGATCATAGAATCATAGAATGGTTTGGGTGGGAAGGGACCTCAAGGCTCATCTAGTTCCAATCCCCCTGATATGGGCAGAGACACCCTCCTCTACACCAGGTTGCCCAAAGCCTCATACATGGGTAGTACCAAATACTCCGAATTGCTGGTGGAACAAAGTGCTCTTTCTCGACATCTCTTATTCAACGCTTTCTCTCTCTGCTCCCGTTTTAAGTGAAAAGAAGAGAGATTTAGATTCCAAAAGAGTGTATTCCAGAGTGGGTACTGAAAGAACAATGTAGTTGAATAACCTGGTGCAGTGGAGGGTGTCCCTGCCCATGGCAGGGGGGTTGGAACTGGATGATTTTTGAGGTCCCTTCCAACCCAAACCATTCTATGGTTATATGATTCTATGATTCTGATTTTGAGAGATCATGCTGAAGACCAGGGTCAGTTCTGCACACTCCAATGCCTTGAGGCACAACTAGAAGTTAACAAAGGAAACCCTTCAGCAAGAAATCGGTAAAAAGAAGACATCACTCTGGCTAATGACTCTGAGGACAAGTACATCGAGGAAAGCAAGAGAAATCGTATGTAGAGAGAAATAAATTGCCCCCAATACCACCAAATAGCCAGAGGCAGGTCAGAAATGAAGTTATATGCAATTCTAAAAAGTAAAACTTGTGCTTGCAGTATAACAGTGGATACAAGAGTTTGAATGCCATATATAACTCCGCAATGCGCTGTCAACTACGTGACAGAGTCCAGAAAACCTGATTTTTTTCATTGCTTTAGCATTTTCTCGATTTATTTCCATTGCTTTAGCATTTTCTCAATTTATTTCCGTTGCTTTCTGGCAGATTATTGCCAGAAACTCGCAGTTCTTAATTTTGCCCAATAAGAAACTTCTACACGTTGTTTGGAGGAAACACCGCATCCGCTTACCTCAGCTTACTCACTCAAAAAAGGGCAATTTGATTTTTCGGGATGACGGGATTCTTTATGAAGACAAGTAACACGCCCCGACTTCCTCTCTCGTTACCTCGTCCCCCAATTTTTAACGGTTAAAATTTAAACTCTGATTGACTTAGTGAACAAATCGGCCATTCGAGGTAACCAGGCTTACTCACTTGAGTAGGACAAGTAGAATTGGATGCTCATAAAGTAAAATGCAGGAGTACAGAAAGACAAATGGCCTCTGTTATATCTAACAACTCATTCAGCAGAGCTATTTGGCAAAAAGCAGTTCTCCAACGAATAAGGATTTATCTAATTCTGTCTGCTGTCAGAAAGTGGATTACTTGCTGATGGATAGCAGGTGCTTCCAGTAAAAATACAGAGATGTTTTGGTCGCCTGCTTGTTGCAACCATCAACCTAACATATGCTGTACGGCGCGAAAGCTCTGTTGGGAAAACAGTATCAGGCTAGGAAAAGAGTAAAGCTGAAATCTCAAAGGTTGTCTGAGCCAAACTGGAGATTATCCAACCTAAAAGAGTAGGGTAAGGAGTTAAAATGAGATGTTTGAATTTTTTTCCCCTGTGTAATAGCTCTAGTAAGGTTATGGAGGCAAATAGCATTTTCCAAGTTATACCAGTTCATTGCGAAGAACAATTCTAGCACTGGGTCTACTTTACGAACGAAGCAGATAAGAGATATATCACCCAAACGTTCTCATCTGATCCAAGGAGGAATTTTCAAAACGGCTCTCTAGAAATGGTGCTACTCTGGAAACAAACCCAGAAATGAGCTGGAGAAGCACCGTTCCCTCTTGCTCTTCCAAGTCCCCCACCCACCCATGAACAAGACTTTCACTACAGCCATTAAATGTAACCCTGAAACCAGCCCACAGTTTCGTTCAACAGCAGCACTATTCTAAAGTCTTTTTTAAATTTATTTTTAAAATAGATAATAATTTTCTTTCTGTTCCTTGCACACTTGATATTTATTTTTTAAGGAGTTTACACACTGGAGTGGATTGCAGTCAAGCTTTTTTTTCCAGCACACATAAATAGTCCTTTCATTATAGAAAACACAAGCCTTGAAACAAGAGTGGAGCATTTGGCGCCGGATCAAGTTGCTGTAGCATTAACAGGAGACTGGAAACAAGACCAAGTGATTCATTTGGCAGCTCATTTAACCCATTTTTATCACTAACTTGGTAACTCTTGATTTTAAGCTCTTGCCTTGTCCTGATTTTTTTATTCCAGATTATCAGAATGAAATACTGGATTATTATCATAGCATCAGGGAAAGGTTTGGGTTGGAAGGGACTTTCAAGACCATCTAGTTCCAAACCCCCTGCCATGGGCAGGGCACCCGCCACTGCCCCAGGTTGCTCAAAGCCTCATCCAACTTGGCTTTGGACATCTCCAAAGCAACAACCTCTCTAGGCATCCTGATCCACTGTCTGAACACCATCAGAGTCAAGAAGTTCTTCCTTAGGTCTAGTCAAAATCTCCCCTCTTTCAGTTTAAAGCCATTGCCCCATGTCCTGTCACTAAACGCCCTTGTCCAAAGTCCCTCTCCAGTTTTCTTCGAGGCCCTCTTGAAGTACTAGAAGGCTGCTAGAAGGTCTCCCTGAAGTCTTCTCTTCTCCACACTGAACAACCCCAACTTTCTCAGCCTGGCTTCAGAGGAGAGAAGCCCCAGCCCTCTCATCAACTTCGTGGTCCTCCTCTGGACCCACTCCAACAGCTCCATGTCCTTCTTCTATTAGGGACCCCAGAGCTGAAACTCATCAAACTGTATATATCTACTTTCCATCCTGCCAGAACTTACAGACATTTCAAGGTATGGGACAGTCTTGTGCTTCTATTTTTCCCCGAATTGAAAGTTAGTGGTTCGGATGAGTGGTACTGGAGACTCTTCCAACCCCCCTATCCCATCACTCTTACCTGTTTGAGACAGAAGTGGTGTGTAAGGGACTTTCGGTTCTATTGCACTCATGGGCGGAGGTAGCAAGGGGTTGGCAAAGCTGCGGAGAGGGTGCGTAGGGCGGACACAGGCAGTGGGGATGGTTCTGCTCGGGGCGTCCTCATTGTTGGAGTGCTCAGGTTGTGTCTGCGGTAGCAAAGGTGGCTGCTGCGGTGCTGGTCCTTCATTAACAGCTGCGAGAGAAGAGGCCAAAAAAAAAAAAGAAGAAAAAGGCAAAGGACTATTATTGATGCGCTTTTTATATCTCATCTCCTACTTTTATGGTCATTTTCAACAGAAGGGACAGCATTATCCTCCACCCTCCAGAAAGGTGCAGGCAATGAGTAAACAGATCCATCAAATGTTATTGGCAGGTGAATTAAAACCCAGATGTTCCTCAGAGTGGCCGTGTGCCATTCGAAGCTCGAAACATCTTCCTTTAAAAAAAACCCTAAAAAATAAGTCTGATATTTTTATGTCCTTTTTTTTTACCTTTGCCCTCTACGTGCTGTTAAATATTAAAAATCAATAAACACATAAATGCATCAGGTGGAGACTGAAACAAGCTACGGAAACTCATTATGTTCAGTGTGACGGTACCGTTCCAGTCATCGCGGAGAAAAGCTGGAGACAAAGAAAGGACTTAATTAATTTCCACAGAACCAATCACCGATATTGTCTTTCCTTGAGGCAGCTGTAACACTGAGTGTGGCGAAGCAGGAGGTTGCTGTTTTATTAGCCTCTATTCAAAGTAATTTCTTTGGAGATTTAGATATTTCATGCCAACCTTCTGATCTAAAAGACGGACTCCCTACGTTCCGTGGTGTTTCTTAAAAGAAGGTTTCAACATCAACCTTGATCACAGACTTTCCGCACCAGAAAACAGAAGCGAACAGCTGAAGTATTAACAGAAAAAAAGGTTGAGACAAAGAGGAAAGTCCTTTATTTCTACAGCCCTCTAGAAACCCATGTCCTACCCAAACTATAAATCACAATATGATTATGACTGTACAGGAGTTTTCAGGAGGTGGATGGTCCGCTGTCTTGTCTAAACATCACGAGTACCATGAAGGTAGAAAAAAGTGATTTATGAATTATGAGTTGACTTCTCTCGAAACCTATTAAATGCAAAATCTTCTAATTGTGTAGCCTAAAATGAGAGTTTTCTTCTCTGGAGTGTGGCCAGGGAAGGAGATGTTGAGTAGGAGGAAGGATAGAAGAAGACAGCAGGAGGTGGGACGCACGTTCGCGCGTCCTGATGGCCTTGCCCAGATTTATGGCACTGCTCTTTCTCTAATATTGACTCTTGGTCATGAGAAGAAACTCACCTGCTGCTGCTTACACCAGGACGCAACACTGTACAGCACTATGCGGACTTTAAGAAGTGTAAGGAAATAAATAATTTGAGCGTGTTGGTGTTGTCCAGTGTCTCCACAGCATCTATGCCAGCCACGATGGCTCACAGCCCAACAGCTAATCATGCAGCTCGTGGAGGGAAACAGAAATCTAGGAGAAGCTCAACCTTCTACTGAAGAAAACAAGCTTCCTGACACATTAATATCAGGATTAGTTATAATATCGGGACCCAAAATGCTCCAGAGGATCTGGTTTCCTTCAAAGCCTGCAGCAACCAGCAGAACTCATTGTACAAATAACACGCAATTTCACAGCCAAGTCAAATCTCAGGGTATTTTATAATAATTAATGTCAAAGTAAATAAGTAATTACAACCTACTAAGCGGCAAAACAATTCTGAAAAATGGAAATGAGGATTTCTTCGCCTTTCCATGGCCCCAGTGCTTGTTCCTATGGCAATATCACAGCTGTGCCCAGCACGACTGAGCACCGCGGATAGGAATCCAACTATGGAACCCAACTTGGATCCAATCAAGGTGAAAAACATCTACGGTTCATAAAAATTTGCTCAACTGTGGCTCGCTTTCTTTATTTTCACCTTTGAGGCTCTTCGCATTCTCATGTCATTACCCTAGCTCTGCTTTTCCATCACCTTCCTTGCCCAGCAGACCCCTCAAAGAGACCCCTCGCGTTCTCCTTAAGGAGGTCAGAGCTATTGAGGTTATTTCTAACAGGGTGGAGCAGGAACAATAGTTCAGCTCATTCCACCTTCACTCACTGCTTGTGCATTCAAGAAGGTGTCCCAGCGTGTTGCTCCTCAAGGCTACCACGGACATTGGGCTCTTCTCTTCCTTCACCCTGTCCTACTCAAGGAAGATGCAAAATAGTCTCATAGAGGTGACAACGTTTTCTGGGGCAAATCTTTGGTGAGGCCTTTGCTTAAAGTGAAAACAAAGCCTTTTGTCTACGCTCTTAACTTCAAAATGTCTTTCGACGTGTTTGTCAAAGTTGGAACTTCCTACGGAGCCCATCACTTTTCATCGTTTCCTTAAGGACAGTTTGTTTGTGATGCTCTTGACCTGCTCAGAGAAACAAGTAAACCAGACACTTTCTACTACCTGCCATGAAATACCTTTCTTGGTGGTATTTTCCGCAGATAACAAAGCTTTATCAGCATCAACATATCAGTCTCTGCATTAAAATGTTATTAAATTACTCACTTTATCATATGGGTACGTTTTATCTTACAGATTTAGTTGTATTATTACATCAAAGATTTCCAGCTCTCCTCCAGCTATTACCGAAGAGAAAGGTGTGATGACTCTATTAAAATGAGAAGCTAGAGTTGGGATTTAAATATTGAAGCTAAGTGGTCTAATGAAGGTGCTTCATGCTTGAGAAGGCTTCTTTCTAAAATGAGCTGTACATGCTTGTGAACGGAATGTTAGATGAGGCTTTGGGCAACCTGGTGTAGTGGAGGGTGTCCCTGGCCATGACAGGGGGGTTGGAAATGGATGATCTTTGAGGTCCCTTCCGACCCTAACCATTCTGTGATTCTATTATTCTAATTTACGACTCACTCAAGTCCCTGCAGGAAGAGAGGATGGATGGTTTATTGGAAGGGTGGATGAAGACGAGCACATCGCTACTGCTGCCTACATCACCTACATCAATCTCCTGACTACCTGCCTGATGTTTGCCTTCATACACCTCAACAGAAGCACCCAGGAATTCCGATTATTTGCACTGATCCAATGATTACCTGATTTTTTTCACAGAAAACTCAACTGACCTTTAAGATGAAGCACATCGTACCATGCTGTGTTCCAGCTGTGATCTTTCGCTCTTGGATTTAGTAAAACATTTTGCCAGAGTAAATAAAATATTACACTATGCATGAAGAGCTGTTCTAAAGCCCAGTAAAACCAATCAAGGGGTCTCGTTGCCTCGAATAAAGTCTTATTTGTGTTCAAGGCCAGGTTGGATGAAGGTTTGAGCAACCTGGTGTAGTGGAAGGTGTCCCTGCTCATGGCAAGAGGGTTGGAATCAGATGATCTTGAAGGTCCCTTCCAATCCAAACCAGTCTATGATTCTATTTTATGGCCGGTAGTGTCATCAGCAGCAATCAGACAGGCAATGCAGCTTATTATTCAAGCTCTGGCTGGGACCTCACTCTTTTTTCAATTTTCTTTAGTCTTTTCTTAGTAGAACATTTATTCTAAAGGTAAATTGCAGGACTTGAGTCTTCGGGTCAATGAAAAAAAGCCCTTCAGAAACAGAATAAGGTGTCTGAGGACTGTCTGGACAGCGGGATGCCAAGCAACACCCTTGCTAATGGCACAGCCTATGATTTATTCAGGGATCGCTATATCTTGATCAATAGGGTGCTCAGTCATGCAGTACCGCAGGTAGGCTCCATCTCTGAGGAATTCTTGCTGGGTATTTATTTTTTCTCAGGCACAGCTGCAATTGGTTGTCAGGCGAATTTTTTCGCTGAGGGGTAAAACACACCAAAAAAGCTTTATGTGTCATCTCTATAACTGCTGCTTGCTCTCAACTGCGTGATCGTGTTAAGAGAACAGCCCCAAAATACACAAACTCAGAGTGTTTGAACGATTCTGTTGCTCTATCCCCATTCTCTGCCACAGCGAAGCCGTCGGTGAGATACGCTGATATCCCTTCATCCCTCCTCGGACTGAAAAGTCATGAACGTTGCCATGATATAAACCTAGTGAACTGCTTGGCTGGTCCTGGTACTATCAAGGGTCACTAGAAAACAAACCCAACTATTTCCACGTCCTTGTCCATCGCTTCGCTTCGTTGCCATGGTGGTGAAAATGTTAAGGCACAGCGAAGGAAGAGAATATTTCCTTTGGAGATATTTTGTACGATCTAGGAGCATTGGAAGTCAACAGCCTTCACAAGAGAGCACAACCGCAACGGCTACAAGAGGTTGTTGTTGTGCATTGTAAGGAGTTTAGATGATTTTCGAAATACCACACGGTCTTGATTACCCAGATCTCAATAATCTGAAACTAGTCGTTATCCAAACAAAGCTATGTCCACCACTTTTGAATTATTTAACAGGAAACCGTCTAAATTATCTGAAATCTTCACTGCTTGAGCTTTCTCAAATTAAAGCTGTTGTGTATTTAAAGCTTCTTGCAGCAAACTTCTGTGTATTTTCTGTTCCAACTCTCAAGCATGCTGCACTTGGAAGACTTGGGCAAACCCATATCGTTCTATAAAGCCCTTCCCTAAGGAATTGTCGTTGGATCCAACAGGATTTCAAAGATGTTCCTCTTTTTGAAAATCTCATCTCCAGCCAACTACACGTGTAAATCTAGTGGCCTGTTGAGGCAGAAGCTGGATGCACCAAGGGATGTGTGATTTTGGGGGCTGTGCCTAATCATGTCCCAGCATCCTTGAGGCATCAGCAGAACTAGGAAAACCTCCCTCCCTTTTATAGCTGGACTTTGAATCTAAGAACTGAAGAAGCTGAGGTCCTTCATGAGTAGACTGAGATGACGATGGCTGAGCAAACAATCCAGTCTTCATTTTTTTTTTCCTTCCATCTCCATGATCGACACAGGGTAATTAATTTTCTTTTTATTCCATAACATCTAATGTATGGCAAGGAAGAAATTGAATCTACTCTGTTTCTGTGCATTGCATTTGGGGTGGGTTTGGTATTAATTTAAGCAGCGGATCAAAACCTGATTCTACCAGCGAGATCCTTAAGAGGAAATTACCATCTAGCTTTGATAGGACCTCAGCAACCACACTGAAGAGAGGGAAAAATGAAGATGATGAGAGGACTGGAGCACTTCTTCTATGAAGACAGGCTAAGAGAGTTGGGGTTGTTCAGCCTGGAGAAAAGAAGACTCCAGGGAGACCTTCTAGCAGGCTTCCAGTAATTCAAGAGGGCCTACAAGAAAGCTGGGGAGGGACTTCTGACAAAGGTGTGTAGTGACAGGACAAGGGGCAATGGCTTTAAACTGAAAGGGGAGATTTTGATGAGATCTAAGGAAGAACTTCTTCACTCAGAGGGTGGTGAGGCACTGGAACAGGTGGCCCAGAGAAGTCGTGGCTGCCCCATCCCTGGAAATGTTCAAGGCCAGGTTGGATGGGGCTTTGAGCAACCTGGTGTAGTGAAGGGTGCCCCTGCCCATGGCAGGGGGATTAGAACTAGATGATCTTGAAGCTCCCTTCCAACTCAAACCATTCTATGATTCTATGAATGGCATTGGAGTGATGACCAGGACCCCTGAACACACCTTTTACCTACAATCCCACCCCTGGATTTCAATCACCAGTCTCCAAAGATCTGTCTGAAGTGACTGAAAGCCAACAATCAAAGAAGAGGAAAAAATTAGTCATTTCCAGAGGAACTCCCCGTGGACCAGCAGCACGGACTGTCTGTGATGGGGAAAAAAAAATAAAAGACGTGTAACAGATTGACATTAATCTGTCAATAATTCCGACTTCATATGTGATAGAGTTAAGGGAGGACTGGAAGAAAACATGAGCCCTCCAACTGTAATTAATATGCCAGAGCACGCTCGTTAGGCTCGAATAAAGAACAGATGGCTGCTGGCGCGGCAGCAGCTCGCAAGCGAGTTGAGTTGAGGTTGGGGGGCTTGCGTTGCGTTGCGTGCCCTCTCCCCGGATCACGATGAGGTGAAGGACAGTTACAGGAGCGCCCAAATCACAAATCTCTAACCCCAGAGGAGCAAATATGAATATAGAGCTCGCTCAGGAGATGAGGCGAGCGAGGTGAGAGAGGATAACGGTATTCAAATGTATGCGAGGATGTGCAAAAGGAAGAAAAAAAAATGTTCTCTATGCCTGCTGTAATCGAAATAAAAAAAAACGGCTTAGATTTTAGCAGGTTAGATGTTAAAGAAAACGTTTCTAGCAGTGAGGGCAGCTAAGCCTGGGAAGACATGGTGTGGAGAGGTCGTGAAAGTGCTAATATGGATGATTTTACCGTGTGATGATACCAGATTCTGCCTTGGGATGAAGAAGAGCTCTTGAACCTTGCATTTTTTTCTGGGAATACCCTTAGGAATAAAGCAAAAGAAATTCAAGCACAGGGAAATGGACTGAGAGCAGCCCTGAGGAGAAGGACTTGGGGATGTTGGCTGAGGAGAAGCTCACCATGAGCCGGCAATGTGCGCTGGCAGCCCAGAAAGCCAACCATGTCCTGGGCTGTATCCAAAGCAGCGTGGGCAGCAGGTCAAAGGAGAGGATTCTGCCCCTCTGCTCTGCTCTCCTGAGACCCCACCTGGAGTGCTGCCTTCAGCTCTGGGGTCCCCAACAGCAGAAGGACATGGAGCTGTTGGAGTAGGTCCAGAGGAGGCCATGAAGATGATGAGAGCGCTGGAGCACCTCTGCTATGGAGACAGGGTGAGAGAGTTGGGGCTGTTGAGCCTGGAGAAGAGAAGGCTCTGGGGAGACCTTCCAGCAGCCTTCCGGTACCTAAATAGGACTCTACAAGAAAGGTGGAGGGGAACTTTTGAAAAGGGCATGGAGTGATAGGACAAGGGGCAATGGCTTTAAACTGAAAGAGGGGAGATTTAGATTACATCTAAGGAAGAAATTTTTTATAATGAGGGTGGTGAAACATTGGACCAGATTGTCCAGAGAAGTTGTGGCTGCCCCATCTCTGGAAGTGTTCATGGCCAGGTTGGATGAGGCTTTGGGCAACCTGGTGTAGTGGAGGGTGTCCCTGCCCATGGCAGGGGGGTTGGAAGTAGATGATCTTGAAGGTCCCTTCCAACCCAAACCATTCTATGGTTCTGTGATTCTATGAAATGACTGATGGACCTGCAGAAAAGACAGGACTGCATTAGAGACGCAGAGACTTTTAAGGTGTTTGGTACAGATTGAAAATGCCAACTGGAGCTGCTGCTGGAAAAGAGTCGGCCTACAGCTTGTTGCTTTTATCAGACCAGACTTATCCTGGCTCCCAAAAAAACATGGCAGCTTGATTTGCGTTGTCTACAGCTTATACATCCCAATGACAGAAACCAACCTATTCCCAAGTATTTTAATAGCAAAAAGCCAAAGAAAAGCACTGTACTAACTTCTTGCTGCTCCAAATGTCCTGTCCACAGAGAGGGTCGGGAACGGCACTGGCCGAAGGGTGAACTGCGGGTGCGGGTATCCACAGGTCGGCGAAGGCAGGATCCCGGGATACTGGGCGCTTTCTAGCGTTGGCACCGGAATGGCGCTGACCACAGCTAAAATGAAAGAAGGAAAGAGATTAAAAAAATTAAAAAAATATTTAAAAAGTCTTTTGAGGGTCAGGAGGGAACCAGAAACAAGCCTGTTTCCGAAGCAAAGGACCCAAATGGTAGGTATAAAAAATGCCTTTGCCCACAGAAGTCACCTCTAAATACAGAAATCCCCCTTTTTTGGTAAACGTTGGTTAATTGCGAGCGCACTCTGCAGTGACTTATCCCTAAAATTAAACAGCTTTTTGTCTGCGTTCCAGCTCTTCAGCCCCATTTTGAGGGATGCTTTATATAGAATCATAGAATCATAGAATGATTTGGGTTGGAAGGGACCTCAAAGATCATCTAGATCCAACCCCCTGAGAAGGAATGGGCAAGGGCTTATTTCAGTTGTCTGAGCATGTCTCTGGTGCCATTTCTGATGCTCCTGGAAGAGTTTGGGCTCCTAAAACTCTTTCATCATGTCTGTCAGCTTCACACCAACATCCCCGACACTCTCGGATGTCCCTAACGGTACAGGATCCCCATGTTTACTCATCAGCTAAGGCTGCCTGGGCATCATTCCCAAATCAAGAACATCCAAGCCTGGAAGAAACAGGGCTGAAGGTCCCAGCAAACCGGTAGCTAAAAGTCAAAAGTTGAGTTCTTGATTTGGATTGAAGTGAAACGCTTTGATTTGAAAAGCGGCATCGCAGCGGGACGAGTTCAGGCTTTCCTGTGACTCCTCTCCTTTCTTTTCAAGAGTCAATGCCTGAAGAGTGGGTGATAATCACACTCTACACACCATAAATTTCTTTGTAGCTTTGAGGAAAAACTTGGAAACTCTCGTTAAAAGTTTTGCCCAGATAAACGACGAGAAGATGAGAAGGTTTGGTTTCTCCAGCACCTTTCACACACGAGTACTAAACAACACCGTAAACTTTAAGACAGTCATTACACTGACTTCTAGCTCCTACTACATCCATTACACAGAGTGACGAACTGGGCTACCTGCCCAAGGTCACACAAGAAGCCATGATGGTGCCAAGGCTCAATGAGGGTATTTTCAAGCACGCGCCTTTCAGCCAGATCACGTTGTGCTTCCAGAGGTTCATGGAAAAATGTGGAGATGAAGAAAACTCATAAAAAAACTACTAACCTGGCTTACTGGAGCTTCGGAGTGGTCGGGATTCAATCTACCCACTCTTAGAAGAGAGTTTCTGCTACTCAGGCAAGTAATTTTGTCTTTATAAGACATTTTTTATTAATGATAAGTATCACATTGCTGCTAAGGTGAACGATATCTCTCTTTATTGAATCCTATTAAAGAACAAATTGTTCTTTGAAGTCCACTCCTTCCTCTCTTTTTTAGGGTGCAGACATCTAGAGCTTTCATTTTTTAAAATAAGACAGGATAACTATTCATTGCAGTACTCTATTGCAGAGAAGCTAAAGAAAAAGAAACATCAAACATTTTCCATAAATCTTCGCCATGTCAAGCATATCCACCAACAAATCTGTTCTGTTGCAGCCTGTCAGCAACTGAATTTCCACTTAATATTGGTCTCCTAAGACACTGAGAACAGAAATTCCCTGCCTAAATCATGGAGCTCCCTAACACTGGTCTACATTTCGAATGCACTGTATTGCGTAAAAAAATCCAGTACCCATGACAAGCTTCCAGAAAGGACAAAGTAAGACAGTTTGAATCGTATTCAAGCACTCCAGAGGCTGCCAAAGCCACTGAGCTGACATGTTCCTATTTCCCTGAAAAAAAAAAAGAACTGCTGGAATTTTCTGCAATTTTAGGGAGGGGGATAAACAGAAAAAAATCTTGCTGGAAAAAACAGCAGAAATTTCTCTCTCAACTGATTTACTCGGTGAGCATTATATTTCCCTCTTCCCTAAGTAACGATTACAAATACAAACCAGAAGAATTACAAAGGCACTACTGGAAGGTGATACCCTCCAAAGAGTTTCTCAATTCTTTTTCTCTGTAAATACTCCTTGCCGCTCAATAGCCTCGGTATTTGGTGATGGCCTGTATTGCATAGGATCCTAGAATGGTTTGGGTTGGAAGGGACCTCAAAGATTATCTAGTTCCAACCCCCCTGCCATGGGCAGGGACACCCTCCACTAGATCAGGTTGCTCAAAGCCCCATCCAACCTGGCCTTGAACACTTTCAGGGATGGGGCAGCCACAAGTTCTCTGGGTAACATGTCCCAGTGCTTCGCTACCCTCAGAGGGAAGAAATTCTTCCTTGTGTCTAATCTAAATCTCCCCTCTTTCAGTTTAAAGCCATTGTCCCTTGTCCTATCACTACATGCCCTTGTCCAAAGCCCCTCTCTAGCTTTCTTGGAGGCCCTCTTTAGGTACTGGAAGGCTGCTGGAAGGTCTCCCCGGAGTCTTCTCTTCTCTAGGCTCAACAACCTCAACTTTGTCAGCCTGGCTTCAGAGGAGAGGTGCTCCAGCCCTGTCATCATCTTCGTGGCCCTCCTCTGGATCTGCTCCAACAGCTCCATGTCCTTCTGATGTTGACCCCAGAGCTGAAGGCAGCACTGCAGGTGGGGTGTCAGAAGAGCAGAGCAGAGGGGCAGAATCCCCTCCCTCCACCTGCTGTCCACGCTGTTTTGGATGCAGCCCGGGACATGGTTGGCTTTCTGGGCTGCCAGCACGTTACTGGCTCACATTGAGCTTCAGTCGCATTAGAGTCGTCCTAGAGATCATGAAAACCTTATCAAATTCATCTGCTTTATGCTCCTTCCACCTCAGTAAGCAAAGGCGCATTGTGGAGTATATTTGTTCTCCAAGTCTGCAAATACTGATTATGGAGACGAGCGTCAACGCTCCCAGATTTGGTATTTAACGATTAACAGTGTGCGGTTTTTACCGCAGAATTACGGTGTTGCTTCTCCAATCTATTTCATCGCTCGCTGCTGACAATTTCTTTCAGTCTCAGGCAAACGGAGAGAAATTAATTAAAGCAGCTAATCTGACAAAGCCGCAGTTTTATCTTCTGGAGAAAAAAAAATATATATTCTGCATAACTCAGCCTGCACAAATAAGACTTTCATAAATCTGAGTTGAATTATTTGCAAACAATCACAACATGCTGTTGCTGTAGATTAGATTGATGCTGGTGAAAATGTAAATAAACAGAAAAGAAGGCATCATTTCTCAAAATGCATCAATTTACTGAAAAAAAAACTAAATATGTATAACAATGTTGACTTGACTTTTACTTAACTAACCTTGCTATTGACCCACTGTAATGTCAATCGATTTGGTTCTGATTTTGCTTATGCCACTCCAAGTCTATGCATTTTCTTGGATTTCTGCCCTCCTTCAACCTGGGTCAATTTAAGAAGAATCTCAGTGAAAAAAAAAAAGGGCAAATTGCCCAATTGGAAGATTCCTGGTGTTACAAGATGGGAATATTTCCCATGACATGGCTAGGTGGTGTAGGAGCTTTCTCCACCTCAACCCAAAGGTCTTTCTTTCAGACCAGAAAGAGGGTGGAGGCTGAAGTGTGTTGATATGTCCAGCTCAAGGCACGAAAAAGTGGAATTCAATCTCTTTCTGGGCATCTGTGATTTATTCTTCTAAGTGCTGGGTGCTGAGGCTGAGCGGCACGACCTGAATCGCACCCATAATGACCGTAAATTAAGGGAACCAATATTACCTCCTGCTAAGTAATTCACTGAACAAAGCCATGGTAGGTTATTCCCTCTTTTCTCCTTCATTCAGTTCCTACTATTAGTTTTTTTTTTTTAATATATCATTTATGATGAGCCCCTCTGCAAACCTACAAAATAGGCACTTATGTTTAACCATCGGAGTTAGAAAGAAATTCTGAGATGAATTGGATTTCTGTCCAGTGCATGTTCATTTTCCTTAACTCAGACTATTTACACGGACGTACCAATTCCTACAGGTTTTTGATCGGATCTATTTCACGAGGTCAAAGGCAGAACTTAAAGCTAAAAGCTGAGAGCAACCAAGAGATTGATCGCAGGGCTGCTCAGAGGAAAGGTGGACACCCAAAACTTCATCCTTCACTGGGAACTTGATCAGTGCCAAACCCTCTCTCCGATGTTCAGATGTGAAACAAGGTCACATCAAAGAAATTATAGCAAGTTCTGCAGGATGGGAGAACCTATCTAATGCTCTCCAGCCTTCCTGCCTTTCTTGTGTACTTTTCTGCTTTGAAACTAATTCACTTAATCTATGAAATTTCAATGATAAATGCCCCGTGGTCACTAAAATCTAACACTGATTAAAAATACCTTTTCTCTCCATTTACTCGGCTTTGTAAGAGAGCTGCTCCATATCAAAAAAGCATATAGTGGCGTAGTCAACTACTATAGACAAAAGAAAACACAGCAGAAACTGCAATAATGTCCAGTTGATCATAATTATTGATAATACAACAGGCTGAGAGAGGTGGGATTGTTCAGTCTGGGGAAGAGAAGACTCTGGGGAGACCTTCTAGCAGCCTTTCAGTGCTTAAAGGGGCTACAGGAAAGCCAGAGAGGGACTTTGAACAAGGGTGTATAGTGACAGGACAAGGGGTGATGGCTTTAAACTGAAAGAGGGGAGATTTTGATTAGATCTAAGGAAGAAATTTTTTACAATAAGGGTGGTGAGGCACTGGACCATGTTGCCCAGAGAAGTGGCTGCCCCATCCCTTGAAATGTTCAAGGTCAGGTTGGGGCTTTGAGCAACCTCGTCTAGTGACAGGTATCCCTGGGCATGGCAGGGGGGTTGGAACTAGATGATCTTGGAGGTCTCTTCCTACCCAAACCATTCTGTGATTCTATAGTATCACATTTGACACCTGTGTTTTGCAAATCTTCTGCTCCAGCAGCTTCAGCTCTTAGCCCTGTTTTTCAAGTTTTATAGTAGGGTACCAGAAGGATTTATCCATCACTATCCACCTGGTAAAAATAGAAACGATGACTCTTTAGGCTTAGCCTGCGCTGAGTCTAGTAGAAGAATGATTTCTGAATTCTCTCCATAGTTTGTCCACTGATGCGTTGTGAAGCCCTGGGCAGGCTTCCAAGTCTTCTACTATTTTTTTTACTTTTTTGAAGATGAAGAAAACATTGCTGATGCTATTTAACTTTATGAGGCATAACCATATCGTATGTGAAAGATGGTATGAGATCTTCCAATGGGTGAGCACAGCTTTCGAGGTCCACGGAAGAGGACAGGGGACAGGTCCTGGTACTCACGAGGGTTGTTTGGTTGCGAATCCATGGGGATCATGAGCTTGGCACGGGTGGCTCTGCGGGCAGCGAGCGAGCGCTCTAACGTGGACATGCTGCTTCCAACATCTTCAGGCTCAGGAGCTAGAGAAAAACAACACAATGGCTTGGTTAAAAATGCTACAGGTGACTGTTTTTCTTCACCATGTATCTAGCAGAAAGATCAAGAGGTTTGTTGTTTTTGGTTTTTTTTTTTTAATGCTGTTATTTTAACTGATCATTAAATATCACCTGCAAAGAGCTGCAGTATTTTGGCTGCCTTTTCTGCATAAAATTATTGTTGGCATTTTGCTTTACGAGAATTAGGATATCATGTCCCTTTTGTCTCTGAAATTATCTTGAAAACCCCATTCACTTCATAAAAATGTGACATTTTTCTTCTAATTTCCCTCGTATAAACTTATTTTAAAATTCAGCTATCAAGACCAGAAAAAGGCTGCAGAAACTCAGGTACCTACGAAGCCTGGCAGCCAAGAATTGGTCTTCGAAATACATCTGATGGATGAAAAAGACCTTCCTTGTGAGATGCCACCAAGTCCTAGGTCCTGATTGTCCAGACTACAGACCTAGTAATTTACGGTGGCTCTTCCAGCATCTTGTTTTTTCTACAGAAACCACGGCAAGTTGAAGATGCACCTGGATCTTCCCTTTATTTGGTCCTGGATCACAACTAGAACATCTAGATGAGAGAGCTGAGATACCCTACCTAATGCCGAATCCAAGTCAAAACCATGCCAGCAGCTATAAAAAATAGATATTCTGCTTAGGTATTGAATATGTATGCTCTTAATTTATTCACATTAATATGGGATAATTGAAGTATTCAAAGATTCCACAGAATACATTTGTCAGAAGGAAAGTATGCTTGGAACTGGATTTTTAGTGGAATGAATTGCAGACAAATAAAAACTGTATTTCTCTCTTCATACCTTGTCTCACATAAACCTTACATTTACTTTATTTTCGCTATTTTAATAAACCATGGATGAAGTCAGTTTCATACTAAGCTTAACACCCACTCAAAATATTTATCTCTGATGTCCCCAAGCAATCAGATATTCCTTAAAAAAGAGGAGGGAAAAAAAAGATTTGCATGAGAAACCATATTTTTTTTTTTCAAATCACTCTTCTCTGAATTGCAAGACTGATATGTCAGGTCTTCTATTGATGGCCAATCAAAGACCTAATTGCTAGTGAAAAGTCAGGGATGGTACTACTGAACTGTGTATTCCAGAACGGGAAGGAACACGAAGGCACTTATTTATGGTCCAAGGAATTTATCCATAAAATATCTAGCCCGGCCTTTGTCATTAACTTGCTCATATTCTGGGATGACTTCCTACCACACGCTCAATCACCAGCCTCCTGCAATCAATGTCGTTCCCACATTGATCTTTCTGGGCTCTGGATCAGCTCTCCTGATCATCAGCAATATCCATTTGGGCAGAGGGAATCTTCTGGTTGTTACGTTTGCCCAATGTGTACTATAGCGAGGACTTTTGTTGGGTAACAGTAAAAGTTAGAACCAAGAGAAATCATTGCCACAATTCTCTTCCGAACGGGAAATTATCAGACCAAACCACAACGGCAGAAGATGAGATTCATGGAGAAATTTGAAAACTGTCTCTTTTTACCTTTTCTTTCCTTGCAAGGACAGGAGCTATGGAAAGGGATAAAACCATCTGAAAAAATCACCTTCATAATTTACAGCACCAACCAATATTTGGGAATTATTTCACTCCATCACCCACAATATATGCGTTTGTGATGAATTCCAGATAAAACTGTTTATGATTTCATGTCCTGGGCTGCACCCAAAGCAGCGTGGGCAGCAGGGCGAGGGAGGGGATTCTGCCCCTCTGCTCTGCTCTCCTGAGAATCCCCCTGCAGTACTGCCCTCAGCTCTGGGGCCCTCAACAGAAGATGGACATGGAGATGTCGAAGCGAGTCCAGAGGAGGGCCAGGATGATGATGAGAGGGCTGGAGCACCTCTCCTCTGAAGCCAGGCTGAGAGAGTTGGGGTTGTTGAGCCTGGGGAAGAGAAGGCTCCAGGGAGAACTTCTAGCAGCCTTCCAGTACCTATAGGGGCCTCCAAGAAAGTTGGAGAGGGGTTTTTGACAAGGCAGTGTAGCGACAGGACAAGGGGCAATGGATTTAAACAGAAAGAGGGGAGATTTCGATGAGATCTAGGGAAGAAATTCTTCACTGTGAGGGTGGTGAGGCACTGGAACAGGTTGCCCAGACAAACTGTGGCTGCCCCATTCCTGGAAGTGTTCAAGGCCAGGTTGGATGAGGCTTTGGGCAACCTGGTCTAGTGGCAGGTGTCCCTGCCCATGGCAGGTGGGTTGGAACTAGATGATCTTGAAGCTCCCTTCCAATCCAACTCGTTCTATGATTCTATGATTCAATTCCCATGCCATGTTTCGGCCTCCATCCCCTTCTCTACGCACCAGCTGCCACTCCCAAGACTTTGCAGTATTCTGCTGGAAAAAATGTTATCAGCTAAAGTGAAGCCTGTGATGTGCTGAGTGCACCAAGGCTGAAAAAAAAGCAGGAGGAAACTTCACAGAAACCCCATTTTTCTTAGAGAATTTATTTCCTTATATCTTAAGTTTTCTCAGTCTCTCTGGCCCAAATCTTGTTCCTGGTGATGCTGTTGACTTTCTTCCTAACCATAGAATCATAGAATAGTTTGAGTTGGAAGGGACCTTCAAGATCATCTGGTTCTAACCCCCCTGTCATGGGCAGGGACACTTGTCACTACATCAGGTTGCTCAAAGCCGCATCCAACCTGGCCTTGAACACTTCCAGGGATGGGGCAGCCACAGCTTCTCTGGGCAACCTGGTTCAGTGCCTCACCACCCTCATTGTAAAAAATCATGTTCTCCCTCTACTCCATTTTTAATTTTTTTTTTTCCCCCTCACTTACTTCTCCAAGCCCCCTTCTTCCTCTCTGGTTTTCTTAACACGACACTCAAATTTAATAACATTTGACTTCCAGTTGAATTCTTCAACTTAAAAAAATCAGAATGGTGTAAAAATCGAAACTGATGGGTTCCCCTTAGTCTGAAATCACCACAAAATATCATCTAGGAACATCTCTCCCAGCATCCATACCCGAGCTGTCAATTCTTCCAATGTCCTCCTGGATCTTGGAAGGTTTCGTCCTCTGTTAGAGACTCCACGTTAGTGGTCACTAACCACCAACATCAAATTAATTTCAAGAAAATTTCTATGCTGGTGATGGAGAAAAAAAATATTGGGGCACATGGAATAGGGTTGGACTAGACGACCGTTAAAAGTCCCATCCAACCCAAACCATTCTACGATTCTATGATTCTAATTTCGCCAAATCTGCAAGTGAAACTCAGTCAATTTCTGGCTCTCCTGCCCTCGGAGTCCCTCACCAGGTTGCGGAGTGCTCTTGGTGCCCAACTGCGTTTCCGACTGGCTGTGGCTGACAGGGGTGATGTCCTGGCAGCTCTGCATCGGTGAGTCCCTTCCTGCGGGGTCCGAGCCTGCCGGTTTCTCGATGTTCTTCATTTCCATCTCTTCATGGTGTATCCACAGATCTGGGGGTCTCAGGTCCTTCTGGCTGCCTTTCCTCTTACCAGCACTATGAGTTGCACGTTTCCTGAAGCAAAGAAAGATCAAAAATGTCACATGAGAACATTTTTTTCCCTTCTTAAGACCAAAAGAGTGATGTCCCCTCATTGGTGTCTTCCTAAGGAACCCCTCCAGTTGTGTCCTTGAAAGGACAGCAGTTAACTTGGTGTGGTCCTAGGCTTTCTGGACTTTGCTCCAGGGGATGGGCCTGGGGCTTAGCATGTTGGGCTCTTTTTTGCACCAGTTGATGTAGAAATTGGGGAAATCCTCTCTTTATGGAACAGAAGTGGCCAGTTCCATCTTGTGAAGAGATTTTGATGTACAGGTATTACGACACGCTCTCATGTCAGTGGGCCACCTCTTCTGGGGAGGACACCGTGTCATGAGGGTATGGCACTGCTCTTGGACTTTCACCTCCCCTTGACTACTCAGGCTATTTATAACAAAATATGCATGTTTTCCTATTCTAAAGAAAAGATCATAGAATCATGGAATGGGTTGGGTTGGAAGGGATCTTCAAGATCATCTAGTTCCAACCACCCTGCCATGGTCAGGGACACCTGCCACTACACCAGGTTGCTCAAAGCCTCATCTAAGGTCTTGAACACCTCAAGATATGCTCCTCAAATACGGGGCACAATATCTATTGTCTAATTTTAAATCTATCAGTTTAAATAACTCGAAAAAAAGAGGGTTTTTTTGGCTTCTTGTTAGGGTTTTTTTTTCTCAATAACCCAAACATACTCTCACCCCTGTTTTTTTCCTTTGTACATCTCCAAGTACATTTTGAAAAGCAACTAATATTGCCATCCCAAGTGGAAAAATAGAAATACTGGTGACATACAAAAACCTACAGGGAAATATTTTCAAATTCATGCGTGCTTTTAGGTAACAAAAAAAAAAGAAAACCACCTTTTCCAGGGGCGCTGAGTGCTCTCAGCTCCTCATTACCCCCGTCATATGCTCACCCCAAAACACACCTGCACACCTCCTGAAGGGAAGGCTCTTTCCCAAATCCAAGGAAAGCGATGCAAAACCTCTCACCAGCATCCCTAGGACTCGCATGGTATCAGTTACGTAGATGTGCTCAGAGAACCATCCTTCCTATCGCCGCAGGCGGTATTGTGGAAGGTGGCGTGGGGTTATTTGATTGGTCGGTAGCCCCAAAGTTCTTCAAGGGTCAACAGATTAATTTGAAAACATGATCTGGAAAGTTAGCAGTGAAGATGAAGGAGTTGTTCAGAGATTTTTGCCTATAGCCCACAAGAATTAAGAGCATTGGCTTCTGGTCATAATTAACGTATGACCCACCTGAAGTTAACAACTCAAGTTGTTCTTCCCATCTCATTCAAAAAAAGACTGCAATTTTGGTTCTAACCAAGGAATTACTTTCTTCACTTTGGGATACAGCAGCTTTTTTTTTCCCAATGGACAATCATTCATTTCTCCGGGCTTGAGCCAGCCAAGACAAATCTCAGCCCCGACGCAATTTTCACGCTCAACTCAAAAGAGGAGGTTGGAACGAATGTGCCATCCCAACCGTAACTACAAAACCGCTACAGCAATGGTATCGTTTAGAACTACACACGATGATCTGGCTGGGTTTGCATCGTGTTTTCTCGCCAATTATTGATGTTCTAACAGCCCGTTAGTAGCAAATTGAATCAGAGCCAGGAGCGCCGACAAGAAGGTCATCAATAACAAAGGAAAAGAAATCCTCCCCCGGAATGGTTTGTCTGCACGTTGCAGAAGTTGAGGTTCGTCTTCTGAAAAATGCAGGGGGAGGGAGGAACTTTGCTGCACCAGACAAGGACATTAGATCTACAGAAGATAGTCGGAAAAGCATCAACATCAGCTTCAAATCTCGGCTACGGAAAGTGATGCTTTGGAAGTTCACGTTGAGATTTACAGTAGGATTCAAATTGAATCCATTACCCATTTTATAACTGGAGGAGGGACTGGGAAAACAAAAGAGTTTGGAATTGAAAAATTCATCTCCGATGGCAGCGTTCCTGTTGCTGTTCAATTATTTTACACCATGAAACGCATCCAGCTTGCATATAATAATGATTTATTTTTTTTTCCTAAGGATGGTTTTAAAAATAGAGTTCAGCTCTGCCCTTAAAATATATATTATGGTTGTATAATCTTGAATAATGGTAGCAGTTGCCTTCATTTTACAGTTACATCGCCCCAGAGAAAACACTTAAGGTTCTAACAACTCAGCCCAGTTTATTTTTTCAACAACAATTGAAGATGTCTCTATCTGGAAGAGCTCAGAAACCATCTGTTTTCCTGGGCAAAGCAAGTTTTTACTTGTAAAAAAAACACCATGGGTAACCACCCAGTCCTGAGCCAATCAGATGTTTTTTCTCATGGAATCATAGAACAGTTTGGGTTGGAAGGAACCTCAAAGATCATCTAGTTCCAACCCCGCTGCTATGGACAGGGACAGCTGCCACCAGATCAGGTTGCTCAAAGCCCCATCCAACCTGGCCTTGAACGCTTCCAGGGATGGGGCAGCCACAACTTCTCTGGGCAGCACAGTCCAGTGCCTCATCACCCTCAGAGGGAAGAGTTCTTCCTTAGATCTAATCTAAATGTACCCTCTAAAATAAAATAAAATGAGAATAATACAAAACAATTCTTTTTACAGAAGATCTCCCCCAGTGCTTACAGATAAGAAATTATTTCATTTTCTCCTCTTTATAACCTGCCAGCCATCCTGAAAAGCTGAAACCGGTACCTGCCTCTCCTATCATCTGGTTTCATGGTCCTCTCCTCCGTGCTAAGATCAAGCCTCATGGCACCGTGCAAGAGATGGGGCACAGGCCACAGCTAACGAGCTACCCCAGCATGGAGGACATGTAGAAAAGCAGGAGCATCTCCAGGGAACACAGCAGTGAAATACGGAGGCTCGTTAGTTGTTGCCAACTCATTTGTTTGAGTTGATTACTCAGTTTGAGTTAGTTTGAGTTTGATTACGCTTTGGTTAATGCCTCCCTTAGCTTTCCCAAATGTATACTGACACATCCCTACATCCCAAATGTATACTGACACTTATATAGGAGAGTTGGGGTTGGTCAGCCTGGAGAAGAGAAGGCTCCGGGAAGACCTTCTAGCAGCCTTCCAGTACCTGGTCCTCTAGGTACCAGGTACTGGAAGGCTGCTAGAAGGCAACCTCTGGGCAACTTGGTCCTCCAGGACCAGGTTGCCCAGCAAAGTCCATCCCTGGAAGTGTTCAAGGCCAGGTTGGATGAAGCTTTGGGCAACCTGATCTAGTGGCCGGTGTCTCTGCCCATGGCAGGGGGGTTGGAACTGGATGATCTTGAAGGCCCCTTCCAACCCAAACCATTCCATCATTCTATGACTTAAACTAGTCTCAGTTTATTTTTTGCAGCTTCTTTCTACACCTCTCCCCCACCCAACATACTAACTGGTTGGGTGCTTGTTCAAGACCATGCTTCATTTTTAACAGCTTAAATACTCATTACTGACCTATCAAGCTTGGACAACAGTCCACTGCCACCTTTTCTCCTGGTAACCTCATGTTACCAGTCCATAGGCTAATTGTTTTGACATGTTACAAATTTTTGTTACACCTTGAAGCCTTCAAAAAATTCGTGGAAGAAGCAGGTTCTGCAGTTCAGGCGTAAGTTGTACAAAATGATATTTTTCTCGTATTTTAAGATTCAACTGGGCTTCATCTTCTCTAAGCTCAAGCTCTGAACTGACCTGCCTGGACCAGGAGTGCACTGATGGACGGAGCTGATGGGTGGCCCCATCGTTCATCCTCCATAGCACCACGTCGGCAGCCGCTGCCAGTGCAGGAGGATCCGAATCTCAATTTCTGCAGGAGCTGTACGTTCCCCTTCTGCACAACTGGGTAAGTTACTACGCCTGAATCTTCACTCACGTTTTTCAACCCTATCTTTTACCACTTTGTTCAGTCAAGATTTAATTAACTTAAAAAATATGACTTTCCTCCACCACAGGCTTCCAGGAGATTATTCCATCACCTGCAAGTCTTTGCACCGGGGAAGGGCACGGGCGTTATCCAGAGAGACTTGACCTTCACCCTTACTGCAGTCCTTTTGTTCAGTTGTTGGTCGGTCGTTTGAAACTAAGAACCAGCTGCCAATAAAAGGCTGAATCTAAAATCTTTCTGTCACAGTATGCATCTCAAGGCGGGTCAGAAACAAAGCGATTCCCACCACCAACCTCTGTTTTGAGGAAATTCAGGATTTTTCCTGTTTTGCTAAATGTAAGGTCCATTGTTTCATTTTTATGGCCCTATTTTTTCCCCACTTTCAGTGCAGAAATGGTTCGTTGGAGGCAACTTGGGTGAGATTCACCTGCCCATAGTATAGACATTTAGAACGTAAAGAGCAAATCCAAATGTATGGACATTTACAACTTACAGAGCGAATCCAAATCCGCCAGCTTCATAGTTTTAAATCAATGGGCAGCCAATAAGCACCTTCAAACAAGTCTTCCAATGTCTTACGATAAGAGGAACAACTCTTTCAACGGTCCTCCCCAAGAGGCTATAGAGGAGGTCAACGGTTGATAACTCAAACTTGGACATTTAATTTTTGTCACCTAATTCTAGACAGATGAACCTCTCCCTTTGTTTCGTTCTCTTGTAATTCCTTTTTCCCTGTTAAAAACTCCAGAGAGCTTTAGCCTGGATTCACCAAACTCTGACCCAACGGAAGAATTTCCATTGCCTTCAGATGATGGCCTGATTTTCAGCTGCTCAGACTCACAATAGAAGCAGATTATCAAATCAGTCCATCATTCAACCACCCCAGCGCTTCTAAAAGCAAGCGTAGGTCCTGACTTTCCCACCTAAATAATAATACCATGAATTAATAGTAAAGCAGTAGTGTATTAATTTTCAATGCATTAAATGCATCGAACCCAGCTCTGTTTCAAACCCATTGACTCCACTTCTAATTTCTCATCAAAACTGAGAAAAAGCTTTGTGCTTTACACTGCTGCCCTTTTAGAGCCTTTCAGAGGAATCCTAAAGACTTTTTCCCCGTAATTTTCTACAGATTGATTTTTTTTTTTTTATCGCATATATGAGAATTCTTCAGAGAAACAGTTCCCGGATGCTTTTTACTGGAAGACTTTTGGAGACAGACTGTCTGGAGAGGATAACGTCCTCCCAAAGGTTAGCAAGTGAGAAGGATTGTCTGTGTTTCTCAGCATTTTTTTCCTTTAAATCAATGGAATTCTTTCCTGTGTCTGATTTATACTTGGCAACATAAACAACAGAGAGCTCTGCGTGGCAGACTTCTTTTTCAAGGCTTAACACATCAGGGGTACTTAATTCTCCATGGTTTACCCTGCAGCATGGGAGACAGGGGATGTTCTCCACTCACCAGCGATGAGCGAAACCTCTGAAAACAAAAGATCAAGCCCCAGAATGCAATTCAGTCCCAGAACCCATGTCTCCACAGTATGGAAGTTATTGCTCATATCTATTTTTTTGACAATAGCCCTGAGGAAAAGGACTTGGGAGTGCTGGTTGATGAGAAGCTCACCATGAGCCAGCAATGTGTACTGGCAGCCCAGAAAGCCACCCGTGTCCTGGGCTGCATCCAAAGCAGTGTGGGCAGCAGGGCGAGGGAGGGGATTCTGCCCCTCTGCTCTGCTCTCATGAGACCCCCTCTGCAGTGCTGCATTCAGCTCTGGGGCCCCCAACACAAGAAGGACATGGAGCTGTAGGAGTGGGTCCAGAGGAGGCCGCAAAGATGATGCGAGGGCTGGAACACCTCTGCTATGGAGATAGGCTGAGAGAGTTGGGGCTGTTCAGCCTGGAGAAGAGAAGGCTCTGGGGAGACCTTCTAGCAGCTTTCCAGTACCTAAAGGGGCTACAAGAAAGCTGGAGAGGGACGTTTGACAAGGGCATGTAGTGACAGGACAAGGGGCAATGGCTTTATACTGAAAGAGGGGAGGTTTCTCTGAGAACTAGGGAAGAACTTCTTCACTCTGAGAGTGGTGAAGCACTGGGACATGTTGCCCAGAGAAGCTGTGGCTGCCCCATCCCTGGAAGCGTTCAAGGCCAGGCTGGATGAGGCTTTGAGCAACCTTGTGTAGTGACAGGTGTCCCTGGCCATGACAGGGGGGTTGGAACTAGATGGACTTGAAGCTCCCTTTCGACCCAAAGCATCCTATGATTTTATGATTTTGAACCTGAGCATCGCCGCTTTTTCCTTCCATCCCGGGATTTCAGAACGTACTTTCTCTGTTGTGCCGAGGAGCGCCGGGTGCAGATGACGGCCACCACCACCACCACCACCACAGTAATGACGCCGACGGTGACAACGATGATGACAAGGAGGTTGCTGTTCTTCTGGGGCGTGACGCTGCCATGGGGAGGGTGCATCTGCCCTATGGGGGGTTCTGAAAGAAGATAGACAATGAGAGGATGGTTAGAGTTGGATTTGCTCCTCTCTCTCTTTAGGAGTCACCCATAAAATAAAACACATATTCATGTCTGGTGGCACAAATTCCTCCAAAAATGCTGACAGAGGGTGCAGATGGGTGTCATAAAGAGCTGAAATTTCAGTGGCACAAGCAAACGAGAAAATATTTAAGCAGTAACGACTTTGCGCTTTCTGGGTGTTAATAACCTGAGGTTGAGAGTCAATAACTCTCGGCTCGTTTTTGCTATTATCAGCTGAAAAATGGAAACACAAGGACTATGGATTTTTGTCTTTATGGCCTGTAGAGTCTTTCTTGGTATTTTATCAACTGACCTGAACGTCCAATTCATTTCTCAGTACTGCATTCACTCCCCAGTCTCCCATCACATTCTATTTCCTTTATTTTTACTCTGAGCAGAGCTCCATGTAACACTCAAGAAGGTTTGGGGCTCAACCTTCTGAAGTGATGACCTTCCTGAAGTTTCAATGCAGCAACATGACTAGGACTGAAAATGACATCATTTCTGGTGCAGGGTCCTGGTCAAACTGGCCTCAAGTACTGGTCCCTTGTTTTTGTCAATTTTTTTCCCAATTTTTACCATGAGGGTGGTGAGGCACTGGACTGGGTTGCCCAGAGAAGCTGTGGCTGCCCCATCCCTCAAAGTGTTCAAGGCCAGGTTGGATAGCAGTGCAAAAGATCCTTTCTTAACTTAATTATTTCAATATTTTGCCCTTTGCTATTTAAATAATTTGCTCTTTTCTCATAGCTTTTTTTTTAGGCAACTGAGTAAGACCAGGAGCAGTGAGTGCCATCCTTTTGGTATTACAACGGTGTAGTACAGAAACGCCAAAGATTTGAGGGTTTGGTTTCTTTTTTGTCTCCATGATGAGTTCCCAAAGCCTCATCCAACGTGGCCTTGAACACTTCCGGGGATGGGGCAGCCACAACTTCTCTGTGAAACCTGGTCCAGTGCCTCACAACTCTCAATGTAAAAAATTTCTTCCTTAGATCAAATCTAAATCTGCCCTCTTTCAGTTTAAATCCATTGCCCCGTGTCCTGTCACTACACGCCCTTGTCAAAAGCCCCTCTCCAGCTTTCCTGTAGGCCCCCTTTAGGCACTGGAAGGCTGCTATAAGATCACCCTGGAGCCTTCTCTTCTCCAGGCTGAACAGCCCCAACTTTCTCAGCCTGTCAAGGTTTTTCCCTTCCTCTCCTTTATTCTCAGGCCCTGGAAGCTCTTTTTACTTTTCAAAAGTCAGTTTTCCTATAATTACAGTCAGTTTTCCTATAATTATGACAGACTACTATGAAGACCAGGAGGAAAGGCTAAACCACAGAAAAATGGCACGTTGGCTGCAGAAAAAGCAACAAAATTTTCCAGAGAAAGCTTAAATTGAACTAGAGTAACGTAAAATACATTTTACTATTCTTTTTAAGCTTTTATATTTTTTTAGAGGTGTTCCCATGGCCTGAGACACAGCGAAAGCATCTCTGGTGATGGGATGATCATCACCAGCGACATGTCTTGGGGAGTACTACGTCAGCTGGGAATCTGATTGGTAGTTTGGGGAGCAGATTTAAGAAACCCAAACTAGAATATATGGTGTCCTGACCCTATTTTTTTTTAAAAAATTTCTGGTTAAAACTACTGCCTCTAGCAGGTATTTTGCACAAAGGATGGGATTCTCAACAGCTGAGAGACCTCTTCCCTACAAAACAGCAAGCATGGGAATGGTGGGCACATTGGGTGGCCTCCAAACCACGAGAGAGAAGAACAAGAGAGCAATAAAGAGATGAAAAGTAGGAGGCTATCACCAAAACTGGACTTATTTATGGAGCACAGTTGGATGAAGCCTGTATTTACCGTTCAAACTGCTCCTGTCAATCAGGTTGGTGTCCACCGGCCAGTAGGAACCATCCCCGTGACGACCTGTTGGCAGAAAAAGGCATCAGATAACGGCGTTGATAGGGTAACCAACAAAGTCAAGTTCGTCACTTGAGACGGGCAGGTTCTCCACCTGCCAGGTTGCCTTCCACCACTATTAAGCAAGCTCGCTTCAATTTATTTTCTTCCTTGTGGAAACACAACTCCACAACTGCTTGGTTTGTCAAAAAAAAACAACCAACCATCGCCATTTTTCTAAGCCTGAAGTAAAAAAACCAAACCAAACCAAACCAAAACAAAACAGAAAGAAAAAAGAAGGAATATGACAATTATTATTCCAAAAATGTTGAGGTGTTCAAAAATTTGAGGTGTTCATCTTTTCCTTGGCTTTATTTTTTTTTATTTATCAGCTTTGGGCAATAAAGCCATGATGGTATGTCCATGTTCTTGTCAAGACTATCAGCTCTGCTGCCTCATGTCCAAGAGATGGAGGATCGCAAAGTTTGGTAAAAACCTACCAAGCTCCTCTTAGTCTATACTGGGATGAGATTGAGCAGCCAAAGTCCATGCTAGAAGTGGTTTGGGGTAAAAGCCACTCTTTTGGCAAAGACCAATCTTATGCCAACAGCCTCCTCTTGGTATGGGCATACTGCACCATAGCCAAGCCCAAAATGTGGTCATCTAATTCCTTCAAAGCTAATTATTTTTTCATTTAAGTGAAATTGGAGGCACAGTCTCAGCTGATGCCAGTAGTGCTCTGCTGGGACAGTGGTCCAGGGAAAAGACATCTTCCTCCAAGACAGGCAGAGGCTACTGGAGCACCAGGTCAACATCAACTCTGTAAGACCCCCTGGTCACTATCTTTTTTGGCTTTTGCCATCCCTTAGGTCAGACAAATTGAACCTGAGGGTGGGTTTTGGTGGGTGATAGAATTGTGTAAAAAATTCTGAAAATTTAGTGCAGGGCAGAGAATTACCAAGGATTATTCCAGATTAACTTCTACATCAAACAACCGCCACCTCCATCAGATCTCTTGGCAGATGAAGCAACCAAAGCCTTTTTCTCACTTTCTTGAGTTGTTTGTTGCTGCTGCTCACTGTTAAACAACTGCTGCGTTCCTCTCCCAAACTACTTGTTTTTCTGTGGACTGCAAAGAAATTCACGTGCGTAACTCTGCCTACCAATTTGGAACGTGTTTTGTGATGAATGGCTCTAAACAAATGGAAGCTGATTATCATCAGAAGAGCCTTCAAGGTAATCAGCTTTTCAATCAGCATAATTGCACAGCTACAACAACTTGATCCCGAGAAAGCGACGTTGCCAAATGTTTAGCGGTAAAAAAAGGCAAAATAAAGATAAACGTAAGGTATATTGTAATTCTGTTTATCAAGATGACACTCTAAAGTAGTCCTAGTCATAGTACCCTACTCCAGCGTGTAAATACGTTGTGACCCCAGGGTTATGTTATGCTTAGGAAACTGAGTATCTCCATGGGAGACTGTTGAATGTTACAGTTTTTTAGACTTCACCCACACAGAAGCATCTTAGCGGGAGAGGAATACATCAAATAAATGAATCAAGATATTGGAGACTTCAAAAAATTAACCCTACATGCCCGACTCTGAAGTTTAGTACTTTTTAGTACGTAAGAGGACTTCTCAAGGCATTACACATGACATTTTCATTGGCCAAATATTTGAGGAAACAGCTGCCTGTTTCATTTCTGGCTCTAATAACATGACTGGGACCATATTTCAACCACGCTGTTTGTCAGGGATAGCCAAGACTGGATTTATGGTAATTTATAGAATCACAGAACAGTTTGGGTTGGAAGGGATCTTCAAGATCATCTAGTTCCAACCCCTCTGCCATGGCACAGGGATACTTGGTATTAGATCACTTTGCTCAAAGCCTCATCCAGCCTGGCCTTGAACACTTCCAGGGATGGGGCAGCCACAATTTCTCAGGGCAACCTGGTCCAGTGCTTCACCACCCTCATTGTAACATATTTTTAACCCAAATCTCCTCTCTTTCAGTTTAAAGTCATAGCCCCTTGTCCTATCACAGCGCGCCCTTGTCCAGAGTCGCTCTCCAGCTTTCTTGTAGCTTCTTTAGGTACTGGAAGGCTGGTAGAAGGTCTCCCTGGAGCCTTCTCTTCTCTAGGCTCAACAACCCCAACTCTCTCAGCCTGCCTTCATAGCAGAGGTGCTCCAGCCCTTGGATCATCTTCTTGGCCTCCTCTGGACCTGCTCCAACAGCTCCATGTCCTTCTTGTGTTGGGCACCAGATGTGGTACCCGGTACAAAATAAATCCTAGTGAAGAAATATGCTCTGGGTAACCTCCAGGTGAAAGTAAAACCTATGAAAGGGCCAAGAGTTGACTTTGATCTTCTAGATAACGCATCTCTCATCTTCCCTAGGAGCTATCTATTGCATGTAGAGCAGCGTAAGGTGCTAGCCACGTCAAGACAAGGATTTCAGATTTACACCTCACTTTGCCTTTTAAACTAGCGGGAAGCAAGAGTTCAAATTGAAATCAACCTCCCAATATCAGGTCTGAGCTTTCCAAACGCCGCTGCGACTGTTTCCTTGGGCAGATTCTTTGGGCATAAATGTACAAAGCTCTAGTTGTGATGGAAAGACAGATGTAGGAATAAATAGGTCTGAAGTAAAAAAAAGGGAAATAATATCCTAGCAACGGACTTCACAAGCGTTCAAAAGGAGACGGGAGCAGAGGAACTGTGACTAATCAGACATATATTCGTAATCAGACGCGTATTCCTATTTGGAAAACGTAATGATAATGCCTTGAAAAGTTGCCGAAACTTTGCTATTATTAAACACAAGTTGCTGGTTTGAGAGAAAAGATGATTTATGATTTCTCACTCTGAGGCTTCTCAACTTTCATCTAAAACCCACGAAAGGGTGCAAGAGGAGCCTGGAAATTATGCCGAGCTTAATTATATTTAATTTGAATTATTCAGAAGTGCAGCAGAGAGACGAAAAATTTATTTCATACAAAGAAGCTTGACATTTTAATTGGTCCTTCAGTAAAAAGAGACAAAACAATTTCCTCTCCTGAAAATTTACATCTTCCCCATCAAAGCAGCAGCCTCAGCTGAGCAGAACTTCATTAACGAGATTAATTATCACGCCAGCCTCTGCCTCATCAGGTGTACGGGGCCAGGTGAAATGCGCGGTCCCATCCCTGGGCAGAAAAGGTGACGGATGGAGGACACCTTACCTTGGTCATTAGCCATTTTGTCCGGGTGCTCGACTGCAAGAAAGAGACAACGTCATTAGAAGCTGACAGCTCGTCGTGGGCAAGTTGCCGCGTCGCGTCCACTATCACAGACAGGAGGAGTTTTGAACATTCCCTTTTTCAGAGAGATCCCAGAGAACCCAGAGGACAAACGTAGAATCATAGAACTGTCTTTCGGATGGGACCCATGAGGATCATCGAGTCCAACTCCCTGCTCCTCGTAGAACCATCTAAAACTAAACCATACGTCGGAACGCTCCTTGATTTCTGAACACAGGTTGAAACATGTCTTACATTCGATATTTTTGCCAAGATCTTAATAATTAGGAAACATTTACCGCAGCATTTTTTCATTCTCTTGTTCTTTTCCAATATGATTAGGGAAGTTTAATTAAGCAGAGAGGGAAAAGAGAGAGAGAGATACTGCTGCTTTGAGTAATTACAGTCAAATCACCTACAAGTTGAAAGCTCAGCCTGACTTATATTATCATTGTTTTGGCTTTTTACAAAGGAGTTTAAATCTATTTCCATGTTTTTTGCATAATCACCATAAAAGCTAGCATGATCTCAAGTGCACCAGACAAGATTTCAAAATTCAACAGATATATTAAAAGCTTTGCTGCACAGCTACAACTTCTGACTATTTACGATACAGTTGAGGGAATTAAACTTTCCTCAGATTCCTCAGTAGCTACCAGTCCTCTGCTTAATAAATGATGCAAGAATCTTAAGTAGAGGAAATTGGGAGGGGAAAAAAAGAAGTGATTCAGCACATGAATCTGGAAATCAAATAACTGCTGCCTGCAGGTACAGAACGTGCTGCTCCTCCGACTGCTAAAACCGCTCCGAAACCTCCTCTAGATCGTGGCATCACGCTAGGAACAAATGGAAGAACTGACCCAGCAGTAATTTACATTTACAGACACATCTATGAGCTCAGTGTCCCCCAAATCTTCAGTTAATCTGATTTTTCCTCCTTTCTCAGGCTTTTTCACCTCCATCTCAGCGCTGATGCCACTTAGACGCTGCCTTGGCTGGCACCGCTCGACGTTTTCTGCCTTCTCCAGGTGACGGAGGAGGCAAAAGCCCCAACACCTCCATGAAATGCTGTAATCCCAGGTGAGTAATACCTGATTTTGGCAGAGGTTGACGTTTGGTGCCAGTTATGAACCGGGATGCGGTGCTGAACCACGCCAAAGTAGCATTAGAGGGCACTGCGGTGCTAGAAATGCTGCCCCACACCATCCGCGCCAAAAAGAAGGGTCAAAGAGGTGGGGGACAAGGGCAAATTTTTCACTTTCTACGTATCGATGTCACGGTTCGTGCAATCCCGACACGTGCTCTTGGATTTTCTTGTAATTAGAGGAGCTCAGCACTCATGGAAGGTCTGTTCGTAAATGCTGGCTGGAATCCAGAACAGGTACGGTTGAGCAGAAGACAGCGTAAGCACACTTAATTAAGTGCAGTTCTGAGATTTGCCTATTTCTATAGCGAATTAAAAAAAAAAAATCAAGTTATTTTATGACAAGTTATTTAAAAGATTGAGGAAACCCTCCTTCCTGTCCGTCTGTCATCGGTTCATTCACTCATTAGTTGCCACGTTTCAATGGGCGGTTGCAAATAAATTTCATGCTATTTATTTACTTCTGTCACTTCCTAAATTCCTGCAAATTTAGGTGCCATGAAAGTAACATAACATCGAGAGCTGGAATTGAACTTCAGGGCCAATCTGTGAAAATACACTGCAAAAAGCTGCAAAATACACATAGCATTTGGGCACTCTCTGCTTCTCTTCCATATAAACACATGTATGTCTACAGAATATTTACTGAAGTCATCCAGACTCAGTAAAGAAGAATCTCAGTAATTAATTCTGGCCCAAATTATATCACAAAAAAAAAAAAAAAAAAAAAAAGGTGGGACGTTCAATCCCATTTTATCCTTCTATTCCAGGCCCCTAAGAAGGTGTGGATCAGGTTCTTCATGCTTCAAGTGATAAATTTAACCAGCCAGAGCATAAAAACCCAAGCGGATCCTCAACCGACGGAAACTGTCGTCGACTGATTGAAGTTCACAGTGGAACGACAATTTACATAAGCAAAGGATTTGCCCGTTTGCCTGTAGATTATCCTTAGTGGAGCTGAGGGGGAAGAATATAAACTCATCGCTCCGTGGTGGCGTTATTTACTACTAAGCGTATCTCTTTCTCACAGATCACTACGTTTTCATTAGCGGAGGAAAGTCACCGCAAATATTCACGCGGCAATTACAACGCAAGTAATGGCTTGGCTTCCTCGGAGGAGTTTTATGTGCTCTAATAGATGAAACGAGACAGTGGGTGACTTAGTGGATCTTTGATGCTTGTTTAGTTCTTCTTGATTTAAAGCTGCCTCTGATCAGGACATAGATTTGCCACCAGAGCACGTTACGACCATATGGCACATACACAGCTTCTGCTCATAACCATCAAGGGTAGGAAACCAACGTTTTTTGCGTCGTTCAGAACCCACTCAAGACTTCGGAAAGTCTTTTCACTTCAAGTGTAGGGGGGAGATTTGTTCAAAAAAGCAGTTGAATATTATCAAACATGACATATTTAGGGTGGATATCATTAAGAATTCATGGCAGGGTATTAGACATCATCCTTGTAGGCTATTACAAGACGTAACATGTATAAATTCATCTTTTTGGTATCTGTTGATGTTGTCTGATCTGGAATTCATTTCCCCAATGAGTTTTATGGTACTTTGTGTAAACATTACAAAGTAGGCGATAGCAAGTGCATTAATCTTTCGGTTGAGTTAGATATCTGGGTCTCTATATCTTCTCAGATCTCATTAGCCTGCGCTTATTATATTTTGATGCCTGGACTCATTTGAAACTCAGGCTAATAGACTTCTCCTGCTTGGCACGAACCACGAGCATGAAATTAAGTTGGCACCAGCCGCTCGATAGAGATGAAGCACCCGCAAAGTGCTCCCTCTTCACATTTCACAGCAGCGGAGAATGAATAATCAGGATCTTACCCAATAATTCACTCAAAGCAAAACATGACTTGGACAAGTCAGTCCTGCAAACCTGGGCAGGCGGTGATAAGCTCGCAACAAATCGATACAATTTTTCTTTTTTTTTTTTTTTTTTTTGTCCCTGACTTGCTAATTCATGAAAACCGTGGTACAAGGATCTTCATGGAAATCCTTCCTTATTGGCTGAAAATGGAGTTTCCCCTTTCTTCCCTCGGAGGCAGAAACCAGCAAAATTTGCTATTGCTGTGAAGTTTTTGCTGAAAGACGAACTCAAATATGAACAAACCAATTCCCCCAAAGCGAACGATGCGGCGTCGCACCTTCGCTGCAGTCATCCTCCTTGCTTTTTGTAGAGCTCGCGTTAAACAAAGTCACAATTGATTAAAAAGAGGCTTGAGTGCAAACTCTCATTCCAAGCCTCTCCGGCTCGTGTTTTGAGTTGAAATTTCTCCCTAATTTCCCTCTGGTTCAGACTTCTCAGGTCCAACTCATGGCCAATTTCAATTCCCTCCTGCCAAGATGTTATTTTTTTATACACAAATCTCAGCGTTTTCTCTAGAGAAGACATAGCCAAAACCTTCTCTCTCCTATGCCACGCTTCTTTCCTGCAATAGGTTCGCTGTTGACGTCATTTGAGTTTTTGCATTAATTACACATCTTTTTAAACAGAATTTCCTACTTTTATGCAAAATGAGTAATATGAGTGACAGTTAAAATCTAAAGGAGGGGAGCCGCGGCAAGCACCTCACTTCCCACTCACAGTAATATCGTTTAGATCATTAATAATTTCTGGGTAGATCATGTCAGAGCAGATGATAAACACATCGGTGCTGAAACACTAGTCAAAAAAAAAAAAGCCAAAAAGAGGTGCCCCTGTTTCACCAGCTCCTTGTCACTAAGGGAGACAGATCAGGTATTTAATTAATCTGTTATTAATGAAGGGTAGTGAAAAGTATCTGGAATAAACTTTCCCCAAGCAAAATCAAGCTGCCTGTCAGATATTTTTTCATCCTAATTTTGCATGCCTACTCTGCTGAGAAGACCGAGTCGTTACGGGTTCCTCCAGACACCAGAGGATGTAAAATGAAAAGGGACCTCCCTAGAGAAACCCCCTCAGATCCAATTAGCTTTATCATTGATGGTAGAAAGTTAAGTAGCATCAGAGAGCTTTCCCCCATCTGCTTCAATCTAAAAATATAGTTCCTGCCTCATTACATGGTTTATTTTCGTCAACTACTGTACGTAGTGTTCTGCTTTTCCCTCTCAATCATAATTACAAGTAGTAGGATCTCTTCTGGTTGACATGGAATTAATTGCAGAGCTCCCAAGGAAGCGTAAAGAAAATTCTAATTCTCGTTACTATCCAGATGACACAAAGTCAAACCTTTCAGCGTCCGGAAGAAAATAGGATCGGAGAGGGGCCCAACTCCCTTGGCGTTACGAGCTTGGATTCTGAAGTAGTAGACAGTGTCAAGGTTGAGGTCCATGATCTGGTGGGTGAGGCGGTCGCCGCTGATGGACTCCATAATCCAGTCATCGATGGGAGCGTTCTTGTCCAAAGTATAGAAGAGGATGTAGGCTGAATAAACACAGGCTCTCGGTTAGCACTTACTTCAATCAAATTTGAACGCACTTCTGTTGGGAACTAGAGAGAAATGTCAGGTTTCTTAAAAATCAGGGTTGGCTTTTTAGAAGTGGGGAAGGTAGAGTGTCTCCAGTCGAAACAGCTTTGAGGAATGTCCCTGCCCATGGCAGGTGGATTGGAACTAGATGATCTATGAGGTCTCTTCCAACCCAAACCATTCTGTGATTCTATGAATGTTACCAAAATACAGATCAGTCTGTTTTTAGAACATAACGACAATTACGGTGTTCACAGTGAGAAATATAGAGAAGCCTTGTGGTATTTTTTGGCAACTACAGGGGAAAGTGTTTTGGAAAAAAGAATGAATAATTATAGCACTGAATATGAGTTTTAGAATTTTAGAAGTAGAAGCACCAGTGTTAGGAAACAACAATAGTTTGAAGGAATAACCTTAGAAGCAAAGGAAATTTTGGGAAGAAGGAAAAAGCCTGTAAGAAAGGCTGAGAGGTCTGGTAAACCCTCTGCGCCAACCCAACCTCAGCTGGAGACCTCCAACACCAGCCTCTGCCTAAATTTGAAAATATTTTCTTTTTTTTTTCTTTCCTTTTTTTTCCTTTCCTTTTTTTTAATGTTTTTTTCTGTCTTTCTTTTTTTCCTTCCCCCACC